TCGCCGTAGATCGCTGGAAATCGAATCGACAGATCGATGTCGATCGAATCGATTCGGTCATGCCATGCCATACTTCTCCCAGAGTTGAAAAGAAAGCCTTATGCTGACCACAACAACTCCTGCCATCCGGGGCCATCCGTTAGTCCTGACATCACGTATTGGGGTTCTCAAGACGGGCGTCGTCTAGGGAGGGATATATACGGTCTCAACCCTATACCCTAAGCATTCAAGTACGCAATCATCACATATTTCCCGAAACCTGCGCTACAATTACTCTCTCCCAAACCCAGAGTACCTCATTCCTTGACACTTGGACCCTTAGGGCTGGGATTGCTTCGATTCCTTCAGCCTACTGCCGTCTATGTGGTCGAAGCTGAGGATACGGCCTGACATCAATGCATATTTGCCGTATGAGTCATGGTCTTTTCTCCGAGTATCCCAGTTAATATCCCCTATAGTATCCCCCACCACAATCCCTATATACCCCCCTTTATGGAATTTAGGTTATGGCTTGTATAGTACCAGCATAGCAAGGAGAGAAACATAGAATACAAGGGGGTGAGAGTGGTTATTGTAAGGGGCGGGGGACAAATCATGAAGAATGCGTGACCCTGAGCCCTATTCCTGCCTGTTCCCTCGACCCCATACGTAAGATGTGCAGAGAAGTGCTTCAAGGCTTTATGCAGAAGGCTTCACCCAGGGCTGTGCATGCGCAAAACCCCTTGACAAGTATCTCAGGAACTACCTGTAAGTGCAATAATTATACCTAGAGTCTAATAGTAAGTGCCCTCTATATACGGTAGGTATAACCCCATAAAAACCTGGTTGCCAGTAGGACATGAATAGGGAATAGAGGAATGGACCCCTGTCATTCAGTACCCCTATGCAAAAAACCACAAGAGACCATAGTTTCCATCTTCTTCCGATATATAATCACTATAATCCCTATACTCTCACACTCGCTATGAGACTCACGCACAGCGCAGGCAGTGCGGTGAGCCGATCCTATAATCCCTATAGTTTCCATTTTCTTTTCCATTATCCCTATATCAGGAGTTTAGGGATTTAGGGTTTAAGGGTTTAGGGTTTGGGAATTAGTAGCTTAGAGGGCTTTCCCTTGCCAACAACAGGGCCGGCAAGCCTCGCACAGGATGCCAAGGCCAAGCAGCCAAGGCGCCCAAAGGATAGAATATTTGGTATATGGGGATCTTACTAGGATATATTCAAATTCTATCTACTTAAGGGGGACTATAACCCTATAGCAGTTTAAGGCTTGATGGTATTTTTCTTATACAAGACCAGAACAGGAAAATGCAAGTAGTGAGTCTGAGCATAGACCGTCATAGATGCCAGCCATGTGGGCTTTTGAGCTACAATAAACCGTCATCGCTATCATGCAATGACTTGGGGCTACCATGCACAATCAGAGCTGCAGGGATTCAGGGTTTTGGCGATGCGGCTGCAAAGAAGCGAGGGGTTGTCGAAATTAGGGATGCCTTCTTGAGGGTCTTTTCGGGGTGTATATTGGGGTCCCTTGTGTCTGGAAACTACCACATGGCTCAGGTTTTCACAGCCTTTTTAAGCGCTACACTTCCGCGCCCCCTGGCTCCCTGATGCTGAATGGGGATTGGCAAATGGATTAAGGGTCCGTCATAGCGGATGGGTTATGTAAACACTACTATAGGTACAGAGTGTTCGACGGTCAGTGTCTGGGACGTCTGGCTTGGCTGAGTTCAAGACAGAGAGGTTTGGAAATTGCATAGCTTGCAAATCAAGCTGATGTCTATCATGAAACTGAAGCCAGTACGGCTGCAGGTAGAAAATCCTGAAGCTTACCGGCATGCAAAAGGGAAGCAGAGGGAGAGGACATAGGTAATCGAGTAGGCTGGCTACATGGAGAGCATTCGAAATCCTGAGGCAAGTCCATTTCGGGACTATGTTCTCCGTATATATCGTCACTTGGGGTGAATGAGGTCGGATCAGGTCAGCATAAATTGACCAGCTTAAGCACATCCAGAGGTTAGGGTTTAGGGTTCATATACAAGGACCAGATAAGGAAAATTGTCTGGATCCGCTCGCCCTTAAGCACCCATGATCCTAAACAAGTTGAACCCCAAACCCTAAATAGAAACCAAATACCGGTGGGTATTTGGTAGGTGGATACTTTCCACAGTTGCTGCCGCAGTTATCCCACAATCCCTTCCTAAGGCCCCTGTACCTCGTAGGTGTGGCACCCCAAACCCCTAATCCCTTTCCCTGTCCCTATAGGCGTGGCATAGAAAGCCTTCGGGAGACCGCACGCCTGCAAGCTACCACCTGTCATGGGTTCAGGGTTTACGGTTCGGACTTCTACTTCACCCTAGACTCCAATTACCTACAGAGTCTTAATATTTACGGGCTAGTTCATACTAAGCCGTTGGGAATTGGGGCTGAAGGTAAACCCTAAGTCTTTAAGTAAACCGTAGAGAATCATGTAAATCGGGCCCCCCCAGGCCCCCCAACCACCATGGACATTGTGTAAGGTCCACAAGTATATATATGTACATACATATATATATATATATTTGGTATAAGGCCCTAGACACTAAACCCCCTATTAGTGGGTGAGGGCCTAACCCAAGAATCATCACTCTCCCCGGGCTCAAGCAGCCAAACCCGACCTGCTGATTGTTAGTTACTCAGAGAATGTACTAAGAGTTTAGGGCTTGAACCATAAACCCTCAGGCGGTTTAGGGTTTAGGGCTTAAACCCTCAACCGGTTTAGGGCTTAGGGCAGGAACAAACGGAAAAGAAAATGGAAACTACAATTCAGGCTCTAGGGCGTAGTCGGGGTGGAAAGGGAATGGAAACTACATACTAATCCCTGTTTAGGGTTGATAGTTGGAAATAGAAAAGGAAACGGAAACTCGAACCTTTTTGAGGGTCATCTGGGTGCAAAAAAACGGAGCAAAACCTCCTGTCCCTACACACGAAACCCTACAACCAGTGGGCTCATGCCCTACACCTCACATCAATAAGACAGGGGCCTGATGAAGTATGATAAGAGGGATTTGGTAACCACCACCACCACCACCACCACCACCACCACCACCACCACCACCACCACCACCACCACCACCACCACCACCACCACCACCCAAAATTAGGACCCTGCAGGCTTCAAACCCTAAACCCTACATCTACAGGCTAGTTTGCGCTTTCGGGTCTTCGGGTTCAGAGTTTTTCTAGTTCTCTGGGCTCCTTCGAAACCCCGAGCGCGCAACACCCCTACATACAAGCATCCACAACGGCTTCCTCAGCCTCAGCTTTCTGTGTCTTTGCTTTCCTTGGCATTGGCTTCCGAACACCCCCAGGATCCAAAGACGGTTTCCAGTGCAGGGTTTACAGGGGTTGGGGCTTATGTCTGTGGAGGTGGGGAGCGTTCTAAGGGCCTAATAGGTTATGGCCTAAAATGATGACCCTACTGACACACTTCTTGCTACCGCTGTGGTTGACTGGCCCCAAAACCTCACTTCCCAAGGACAAGACTCGGACCTGAGATTTCCAAATTGCTCCAACTTGCCTACTCGTTCAAAACTGCAAAAAAAAGGGGATTTCAGCTACCCAAACAGCTAAAATAAGGACCCCATAACTACCATATTATTCAGCGATGGGGTCCTAATGGTTGCGGTTGGGGTAACTAAATATTTCCTCTTTTAAGCAGGGTCTTAAATCAAATGTATAACAGGATGGGGAGGGGGGACATATAGTGTGTGGTAGGGGAACCCATAATGACCCTTGAGCCCAAAGCCTAGAAAGCTGCGATTAAGAATGCTACAGTACAAGCCTATTTAGAAACCTAGAATAGAGTTCTGGGATTCACTGTATAGTTATATAAGGACAGATAATGTTGGTAAGCATTTAGACACCTAGGCTGAATATCCTATGAAACCGTTGCATCATCACAGTGTCCATTTCATGTCCGTTTTGTGTTGCATATGGTTCTCCAATGTCCCTAGACCCTGAACGCCGAATTCAATGACACCGCCAGCTGCCAGCTGCGTAGCTACCAGGTGGGCACCCCAACTATTGGACTCGTGCAAATAGAAGGTCCATAGAGGCCTTGGTAAGGGTACCCACCTGGAAGGTTGCTTGACAATGTCCTGAAATGTCCCTACAGAACTCCTGTTTAAACCCGAACCTAAATGCATACACTCCCGGACCCCAAGCTCTCAGCGAAGTGTCTTCTTCGCAGGCTCAGCGGGTGCGTCCTGCTTCAGGAACTGTAGGAAGCGGACCTTCGGGGCGAGGTAAGATTTCTTTCAATGCGCGCAGGACTTCGGAAGAATGAGCCCAGATGCGATCAGGGAGATACACGAGTTAAGGCAGCACTGCTGCATGAACAGATGAGGGAAGGCCGTCAAACCAGTCACCACATCGCACAGACATAGAGCGAGAGAGACAGGAAGAGAGAGAGAGAGTACCTCAGGCCATCATATCTTGGACCCCCCCAAATGCAAGGGCAACCCAGGAGCCCTTACCCTTCGCCAAAAAAATGCAAGACAATATAGGGATTTGCCAAAATTAGGCGTACCTTATTGGGGGTCCTTATAATAATCCGAAATAAGGATTACTATAATTTGGGCTCTATATTGGGGTCCCTCTATTTCTGGAGACTACCATATAGCGCCCTTGCAAGAGGACTGTAGTCTGTGTAGGGCCCCCGTTGGGCTTCTATGTGTATCTGGTGGAGGGCGCATTCTGCAAGCGAACGGCCTGTAGCTTTCTCGTTCTACAGTCGTAGGTCCTCTCAGCCCGAACCGCCCAAAAAAAACAAACATAATCCCGAAGATTGAACACTTAACCTTAAGGTTAGAAGTATGGGCCCCTAATATGGCGCCTTAACCTCTCCAGGGGAGATTCCAGAGATCTTTTAAGGGTACATATGGGGTATGGAATGTGATCCCAGGATAAAGGGCCCATACTAGGGGCCCATGGTTCTAATATTGGATAAGACTAAAATCCAAAAGCCCTATAGCTGGGGTAGTCCCCTTCACAGTACCTGTTCTGATCGGGATCTTTTCGGGGGGGGGGATCATAATTCCCGTTACCTTCTGTTTATGTAGTGTAGAAGCCTGAACCACTATCAAAAACTTGAGGTCTGTTTGAGGCGCCCTAATAAATATCAATAAGCATACAAGGAAGGTGGGATTATTTGCACTTCTTTAAGCACGAACAGTATCCCCACAAAATCTAGCCTCAACCCTGCACCCTAAGTGGTTGAATCACTACCCCCCCGCCCCAGTGCCCTATCCTAGCATTCCAAGCTCATCAAAACGGATTGTGCCTGTGCCCTATCCCTGAATGCTAAACCCTAAACAACACCCTCACACCTGGAAAGACCCCGCGTGAACACTAAACCCACAGCCCCCCCAAAACTAGGACAGGTTTGGGAGCCCTTTCAAAAATATTTGGGGGGGGTAGACTTTTAAAACTTACGATTTAGGGTTCAGGGTTTTGGGATCTAGGGTTTACCGGGATTAAATAGGAACTTAGGGAGCTTCCTAGCCTACCCTGGAAATTTCCAAAGAATTGCAAGGCCCAACCCTAAACCCTAAACCCTAAACCCTAACCCTAAACCCTAAACCCTAACAACAAACGGCACCTTGCCAAAACCTGCCAGAAGCTCTTTGAGCCTGGCATCCCAAAGGGCTTTGGGTTTAGGCTTTAGGCGCTCAGGGGTAGGTAAGGTTTAGGGTTTAGGGTTTATAGGGTTTAGGGTTTAGGATTTAGGGTTCAGGGTTTAGGGTTCAGGGTTTAGGGTTCAGGGTTTAGGGTTTAGGCGCTCAGGCGTAGGTAATATTGGGATAATATAGGGATTTAATATAGGGATTATATGGATAATGGCAAATAGAATGGACACTACTATTCAGGGTTTAGGGTTTACTGCTTAGGGCTTTGGGTCATAGACTTTAAAGTTTGTACCCTTAAGTTTTTTTAACCCTGGGCGCTGGGCCCCAAATTCCCAAAATTAAGGACATGTTCCATGGCTCATTCTAGGAACTCTTTGGACCCCTCAACTCCCAGAGGCGTGGGGAGCCGGGTTTTGGGATATGGGTTTTGGCGTGTTGGGTGTAGGAGTTCCTGGGGGTGGCAGTTCTTGAGCCAGTAGAATATAGAATATATGGAAATATACGAGTTTTAAAAGAAGACACGGGTCATGCCATATACCCTCAAAGCGTTAGAATCCTTATTCTGGCCCAACATGTGCGCGACACGTAGCTGTCAAAGGCTTTAATCCCGAACGTAATGCAAAAGCCTGACTCCTTCTAATTCAATGTTGCTACCCCAAACGCTAAACCGTAAACCGCGCATAATTGAATGTGCCCCGAAAGGGCCTACATTACACGCAGACCGTGAAGACATGAATGAAGATCCTCATGCTCACCCCACCGCAATGCCCCGTAAGATAATTGTGATGTAGACGCCTTAAGATTAGGATCCCGGTTATAATCCCAATTAAGGGGAGGGATTTATAAATAAGGGGTCTACATTAAACAAGGGCAGATTTGGAACACTCCAAAGCGGTCTCAGCGTCTGAAGGTTCCAAGGTACTGATTTGGGGGGGCTGCGGTTACCAAAATCATACACTGCTTGTGGAGAACCCGCGTAGGCTAGGAGTTACACCAGTTTACGGGCCATTCTTGGAGGCTCGCTCAGGGTAATTCTAACTGAATTCTAACCCCAATGAATCCTCTAATGTGGCTAGACTTCGGTTCTCAACTACCCTAAGCCCTATACACACCACATAACTGGATCAAAGCCCTACAAAATCCCTCATGCTAGAAGTAACCCTGAACGTCCAAGTAGGCGGTGCAAGATTCCATCGTCAGTGTCTCTATACAAGAGCATGGGAATTTCTCCGCAAGGGGCAGCCAAAGGGAACTTTACCTGTAGCGGGTTTACAAGGCGATTATGCGGGTCTCCCATAAGCCATTATGGGATCCCCATAAGGATTGTACCGGGATGAGTTGGATAAACCAGTTTTCTTCCACGGAGAAGACGGCTGAGACTCAGCGGAAGCAGGGCACCGTACCCCAAACCGTAAACCCTAATTCAAAGCCCTAAACCAGCTGGGCTGCATAAGGTTGGGAGCGTTGCTTTGCCCAGCTGCTGCCGACTTTCAGGCTTTTGCTAGGAGGGCAGTTCAAGTACGCATGAAGCTGTAAAATGCCATCTGGGGGTTTCCCAAAATTTGGGGTACCTTTTTGGGGTCCCCATGGTAAGGATTACTATATATTGGGGTCTATCTTGGGGTCCCCCTATTTGTGGAAACTACCATTTAACAACTACCAAATGGAAAGGCTCATCAAGCTACCAAGGGCAGAACCGTGAGCCAACCTATATCACAGTAAGCTGAACGCAGCTCCGATGTTGCCCTTAGATCAAGTTGGGGAATTGCTCTGAGGACCTATATGGGTTTTACTTGAGGTGAAAAGAAGCTATGTAATAACCTGTCCGAATCATGGCTTCGCAACGGTGCTGGGAGCCACAAAAAGACACTTTGACAGTTGTCACAAGGCCTCCAGTACTGCGTGTTGGAAGGGAGGCCGTTGATGTCCTGACCGAAGGGCGGATGTGACTTCACAATTACTGGTTCCTTAGTGAGTGACTGTTAAGGTCTGAGCTTCGCGGATGAGAAAACACATGTTGAGCAACATCGATATCTGAGCTCCCGTAGAGTTATGACAGCAGTTCAAGCCTACTCCAATTTCCAGCAAGCACTACCAGGCTTGAAGGCTTGAATGGCAACCTAAGCTCCCTAGACCCTCCTCCTACCCTCTATTAGGGCCTAAGTACCTATTATTAGGGACCATATATCCCGAATTAAGGGTACAAGGAGGGTCCTAAGCTCTACACCTAAAACACAAACAGGATTGCACCAGCAAAGGCCGGGATGCACCACAAGCTCGGAAGAGTGGAGTGGATCTGTTGTTGATGGATTTTCCGCCTATAGGAGTTTCCAAAACAATTGGGACCACTTTTTCGTACCCAGACATGCAATAAGGACTTTATGTAGTATGTTGGGGGGACTATATTAGGGCCTCCTTATTCATGAAAAGAGCGAATATTAAACAGAACCAATCTTGTTTAGCGCTCTTCTCCCTTAATCAAGACTCTGCGTACTGCAAAAGGAGAATGCAAATCCATTCCCCGAACAACCAAACGACCCATAACCATGCACGCGCCACCCTTTACCTCACTGGTTCTTAGTAGAGAATGAAGGAATATAATCTCCACGTATCATATAGTCCCCCTTAAGTAGATAGAATGTGGCTTTGGGTAGATTAAAATAAGATCCCCGTATACCCCATATTCTATCTACCAAAGGGGGAGGATAGTCCCTTATTCCCGACCAAGCACCAGTAAGTTAAACCCACAATGGAATCATGAACGTGATTAATACCACGCTCGATGCCCACGCCAGCCGTACAGAAACTGAGTAGCATGTCAGGAGTTTAAGGAACATAAACCTAAACAAACATAAATCCTAACCCCAAACTATTCAAAGAAATGATTGCAGAAGCACCGCCTTTGGCAAGCTGGGGACCGCACCATCACGCATCCCGGAATCATCACCTGTCACATAGCACTGGCTAGCACCATCCCAACGATCCCTGTATCATCCCCACATATACCCCGTTCTAGCTCCACTGCCCCACTCACCCTGAAGCATCTGGAAGTAAAAGTGGCCCCAAGCTTTGCCTTGGCCACTTTGAAATAGCTAGCCCGTGGCCCTAAATTCCTTGAGAAAAAGGGATGGTAGCGTTTAGGGGTTTAGGATCGGGGCACCCGTCCGGCACGGATTTTCCTACCATCCTTGGGGGTGAGGGCGACGTAGTAAGTATACTTATAACTTATAAGCCCGTTGCTTAAAGTTGCTAAAGGCAGGCTTGGCAAATCGGTTGCTGGCAAAAGAGCCACTAGCTTAAAACCTAAACCCAGACCCCTCAACCCTCAAACCCTAAAAGCCAAACCCTAAACCTTTGACCCTTGAACCTTTAATCCCTAAACCCTTAAACCCTAAACCCTTGAACCCCTAAACCCTTAAACCCTAAACCCCTACACCCTTAACCCCTTACACCCCACAACCCTAAATCCGCACCCATCTGGCTGCCTGCGGCTCGAAGGCGCGAGGCTCGTGTGGCTTCTCCTTCACACAGAAAAAGAACCGTACAGAAGGGGTCTCCTAAAATTAGATCCCTAAACCCTAAACCCTAAACCCTAAAATCCTACAGGAGGGGTCTCTTAAAATTAGATGTCAAGGGTGTATGGGGGTGAATTACATAGGGGTCCGGTTTAAAGGTGCATATACGGATATATGAGGCTATGTAGGGTCTAGGGGCTTCCCAAAAGTAGGGGTCCCTTTGAAGGGGGTTGTAGGTGTTATATATATATATACATATAGGGGTATGTAGTGTTTAGGGTTTAGGGGTTTCCTACATTAGGGATACCGTTTTGGGAGTCCCCATAATTGGGATTGTTGCATTTTGGGGTCTATATTGGTGAACTACCACATTGGGGTCAGGGCTGAGAGAGTAGGGTGTATTGTTCGGGGTTCGGAGTTTAGGGTTGTAGAGTTAACGGTTTATGGCTGTTTAGGGTTTGGGGCTTAGGATTTTGGGGTTTGAAGGACTGAGGGAAGGACTGAGGGACAAATCCCGCAATGCTGTGATGCCAAGAGTTTCATCAATGAATGTAAGGGTTTATAAGGGTGGATCATAATTCACCTGTCAGCCCAGTATATCGCCCACCCATAGATTCCCCCTTCATTCGCCTTCATCATGCCTAGGGGAACCTCAAGGGTGGTGGCGGGTAGTTGGGGCAACCCAGTAACACATATAAGTACAAATATATGTGAGACCTCGAGCCTGTTTTGTTGGTATCTTTTAACATCCTCACGAGACTTGGGGATGTCGGGGAGCTGGGAGTGTCACAAAAAAGAATTAAAAAGGGACCCTGGGAACATATGAAGCATTGAGCTTCTGACGGATCCTTGGCAAGATGCTTCAAAAGAGATTTCCGAGTGGGCAAGCAACTCCCTTAGCACTAAGCCCTACACCGTGTGGATCCCTAGGTTTTGAGGAAGGGCGTGAAGACTGGGAAAGTTGGGCACAAGAATTCGAATCCGGCGAATCGGTCAAGAACAGCTCCAGGTGGGGAGTTACCCGGTGAGTAGCAATATCTCCTCGTAGAGTCCTTGTATAGAGGCAGCGGGGATACAAAAGGTCTATGCAAACCTCCTATAAGGGTAGCCGCCTGATACCAACTCTCCTAGAACCAGCCCTAACCCCTAAACCCTAAGCCACTGAATGGAACCTCTCCATGATTAGGGGCCCTTTCTGGGTCCTTATAAGAAGGACTATGGTAGATTGGGGTCGATATTAGCTCTCCCTCTTTGTGATAACGCGCTTGTAGGTCAGTGTAGGATGGGCAGCTCAGCTGAAGCATAACTATACCACTATGAAAATCATGACTTTAATGTTGCATCCGCTGTACCCAAGAGACTCTCTTTCATGTGTTTCGGCGGCCGCTTTAAAAGAGTTTTGAGCCCATTCTTTGGAGACTATCTTTAATCAACTTCGGTTCGTGGGCCCGACCCTAAACCCTAAACCCTAAACATTAAAACCGAAATCCCCAAACCCTAAACCCTAAACCTGAAACCCTAAAACCCTTCTTACATCACTCCCAGAAGCTCTAGGTACCCTGGGGGGCCTTATTGAGGAAGCCTATGTTTAAGTCTCTGGGGCCCCCCTGTAGTAGAGTGAGTGACACATTACTGTGGACAATGATGTTCCTAAGTGCTAGAGGATACGGAGAACAAGTATTAAGACTAAAAGTAGCAATGGCCGTAGTACTAGCAGTATACGCTCGCGGCAACATTGCCGCTCTAGAGGGCTGATTGTTGATTTGCCTGAGACGTAAACATTCCTTCGGAAACAGCTGAGGAAAACAAGGGGGCGACACAAAACAATATTACCTCAGTTTCCATTTCATTTTCCATGTTCTTTTCCATTTGCTTCTCCATCATAGGTGGTTAGTATCCTTTTTTTTTGAGGGGGGGTCTGCAAGCTGGCACATCACGACAAGGATGCACCTCTACCCTGAAAGATGCTCCGACTGCCTCCTGCACCTTGCGAACGAATCTTGAAACCGGTCGTCCAACTCTTGCCTATGCTCTGCGCGGTCCCAGCCAGAGTCCGTGAAGAAGAAATCATCCACACCATAGGAAAAACACGATTGTGACACCTGTATCAGACTTGCTGCCGCTCCTGAAAGTAATCTGAAAGATCTTGCAGCATGCATCAGCTGCTCTCTCTCTCCCTCTCCACCCAAACCTTCCTGTATAAGGCTATCACAGCCCTGCTGGATGCTCACAGCTGGCATTGGGACCATGCTTCAGATCATGGGTACAGAACAGATGATGGGTACACAACAGCTGTCAGTGGAAACCAGGTCAACTCCAAAAATGTCTCAGGCTCCCTACCGGCACTACATAAAGTCAGGCGCTGCCCTGGAAACCACCCATATCTGAAAAAAAGAACCGCAGTAAGCTTGCATTGGAAACATCTTCTTTGTGTTCACAAAGCGCTGGGTGAATAGCCGCTTGTGCACACCGACCCATGGCAACTACCCATTGTGTGTAACGCAGATGGAACACTGAAGTAGGAAGCGTTGGGAACACTATATCTGCACAACTTACTGGTTCTTATATAATAGGGAATGAAGGACTATAATCCATATACAACCCTGACATATCATATTCCCATAGTCCCTACTCAGGACCCGTGAGATAGAGCTTCCGAATCCTCTTCACGAGCGCGCTTCTTCTCTTTCTGGGGCTTGTCCTTCGGCTCCTGGTCCGAGGCTTAAGGCAATAAGGGAGCTTTTGTGGTTTGCGAAAATCAGGGGTTCCCTATAGTGGCTCAGATACGGGCCACTAACTTATGCCCACTGCGCACACCTGCTTCCCAGACTTCCGAAGCACTGGGGATCAGGGTCGGGTTTCTTGGTTTAGAGCAGGGGTCTGGGTTTAGAGCAGAGGTGTAGGGTTTAGAGCAGGTGTTTAGGGTTTAGAGAAGGGGTTCAGGGCTTCGTAATCCTGTTAGTACTGCCGATAAGCTGCATCCTGCTGTTGTCTAGTGGGCACCATCTCACTATCTGTTTCAGATCGTTGCATCTGCCGGGGCCTTGTGCAAGAAGCATAGCTAAGCTGCGGTTTGGCTTTTGATGCCAAACACGAAGAAAATCTGCATCGTAGCTTGGCAAGCACAGAGTCGAGGACTATGTGCAAAAACGTGTTAGAATGGACTCTGCAGAAGACGAAGACACATGGAGCGCAAAATCCAGTCGTAGTTCAGCAGGCGCAGAAGCTGAGAAATCTGTGCAAGTGAGCTGCGGGTTGCCCTACACCCTGAACCCTAGAAAAGCAAGTCCCCCCTAGTCCTCCAACCGTGAAAAACCTAAACCTCGCACCGCATAAGCACCAGCCTCAATCCGAACACTGCTAAACCCTAAGTCCCCAAAACTCTGACACCCTCAAAGCCCCATATCTTGAAACCCTAAACCCCTAAACCCTGACTTCTGAAACCCTAGGCCATAAAACCCTGATAGTTGTCCTAAACATGAAGCCTCAGACCCTGAACGCCAAACCTCAAACCCCAAACCCTAAACCATAAAACCCCTAAAACCTACAACAACCTCCAACCACCCACCACAAAATCAAGCAATTCCAAGAACCCATCACACGAATCCGAGCCCTAAGCCCTACATCCTAGATCCAAATCCCTAAATCTCTAAACCCTTAACCCTAAACCTTGAATCCTAAATCCGAAAACCCTTAACACCTAAACCCTAAATCCCAAACCCTAAAACTTAAATCCTATTGCGGAACAGGAGCAGCTACGAGGCCAGTGCTTGACTCGCTCTTACCGGCGCCATCCTGGGGGTAGATGACGTTGATACCTTCCAGGGGGAAAAAAGGGGGGGAGGGCTTAGAGTTTAAAGGGTTTGGGGTTTAGGAATTAAAGTTTAGGAGGGGGTGGGGGGGTGGGGCGTTTAGGGTTTAGGAGAGGTTGAGATGGGGTGTAGGAATGCCCTGATAGGTGGTGTAGGTGAACAGTATAAGTCATTCTCCAAATTTCTGCAGAACGGGAGCGGGGCATGGGGAGGATCCACAACAGGGACTCCGTAAAAGGGGGCACAGGGATAGGTAAGGCTTGGGGATAGGACGTTTAGAGGAAGAAAATCCTGCAAAAAAGGATGCCCGAGGCATTGTTAGAGAAGGTTCTACTTTCTTTCCCATTCCTTGGTGCCATGTCATCCATGTAAAATCCTAAACCCTACACCCTAAACCTGGGGTAAGCTACTGCAGAGTGGCAGGGCTTCCCTGTCAAATGCCAGTAAGCCGCTCCTGAAGCCAGCCCCTTATTGCTCTTCCTATCAGTACATCCACCCGTAGCACATATCCCAAAAAAGGTGGAAATGAAGGGCATGAGAATTTCAGATGTGTGGGGTTGGCAGGTGTGGACTACCATGGAGTCCCAAACCGTAAGGGCTCACTAGCAAAGACCGCTCATGGCCACCCTAAACCCCAAACCCTAAGCCCTAAACCCTAAGCCTTAAACCCTAAGCCCTAAACCCTAAACCCTGAACCCTAAACCCTTAACCGTTGCAGGCAGGTTGCTCTTAGCAGCGCTAACCTCAGCAGTGGCATGCTCGGAGGCAGAGGGAACCAGGATGGGCTGTTAGACCTTAAGGGCTTAGGGTTTAGGGGTTTAGGGTTAAGGGCTTAGGGGTTTAGGGTTTAGGGGTTCAGGGTTTATCTACCCTTATTAGGGTCCTAATAGAGAATTTCAGGGTCTAATAGCGCATAGGGGAAGGGAACTCGGAAGGGGGCACCGGGGTCAGATTCTGGGAAGGCGCGGTGCAGATGCCATAAAAGTACTATAGTAGTCTCCATTTTCTTTTCCATTATCTATATAATCACGATATACACATAATCCCCCCTAAAACTTATGAAGCGAACTGTCATGTTGAAAAGGCGGAAGTCAACGACTGGTAGTTTTCGGCTAGCTGCCTATGGCTCAGAGACGATTACCCGCAATTGCCACGGACCTCTCCTCTTGGCAACATGTAGGTGGATGTCAAAATTATGGTCCTTTTTTGGGTCCCTATTATAATACGGCACCTAATATTTGGGGTACCCAAAAAGGGACCATAATTTTGACAACCACCCATGTGCATCACACGATGCAGCGTCTCAGGTCCAATTGATGAAGTGCCAGCATAGACAGGTAGGCTCATGTTCCTGTTCCCCTGGCAGCTAGTAGAAAGGTTTGGCCCAAGGAACATGATTGGTGTTGATACCAAAGCTCTGCACGGCCTTCGTCTACCGCAATGCCATAGGTCACCTGGTATGAAGCACTTAGAGTCATGCAGGATTTCGCGTATCCAGTGTAGCACATTGCAGTACATAACAGGAACTTAACCCCTACGTCCTAGTCTCTAAACCCCATACCCAAAAATCCTAAGACCAGCCCCTAAACATAAGTCTTCTGAACCTCAATCTCCTGAACTAAAGAGACCCCCGAAGATGCTGGGCAGGAAAGGGCGTTGGAGGTCACAGGCGGTGCTCCCGCAGGTCGAGTCTACCTATCTACCTACCTAGCAGGATGGGATGTTCGACCTTTGAGCCACTTGATCTATCCTTTCCAGGGTTATAGAAGGAATCTACCCTTAGTAGGTCCATAAATGGGAATCTACCCTTGTCAGGGTCCGACAAGAATTAGGGTGCTTACCTGCCTACCTGGCTTGACCCAAAGCAAAGCCCAGCAGCTCCTTCTTGAGACCTTGGCTGCAGGGGTATAGGTTAATTAGAGTTTAGGGTTTAGGGTGGGTTCCCGTACCACCCCAAAAACTCCGTCTTAGGCTCCGCCTTAAGTAACCTTGCTAGTCCCTAAATATCCTTTAGCAAAAAAAGAGAGGCACAAAAGGGGGCCTACGTAGTATAGGGTGGCAGCTTGCATGACCTCATAATACTAAGCCCCTGATTTCTCAAGGCAGCAATTTGGGCCCAAATGGCTTTCCATATAAAGTACCCATATGTAGTATAGCACTTCAACCCATATGGGTTCTTATACGACATGCCTAACCAATATAGCCTGGGCTCGAACATGACTTCCTGGTCCGAATTGACTCCTAGTCCTAATTGCTGAGTTCACTGGCTCCCCAAAAAGGTCAGCCTTGTAACTACATGCACAAACAAGTTAAAGATTAGCTGCCCAGCTACTGAGAAGTACAATTTGGGTACTCAAAACCTGGGCCAAACACTTGGGAGCTTCCCTGAACATGGGGAGCAACCTTCACGACAACAAGCTAACTTCCCACTTCCACAGTGAGAAGATGTTGTGTGCTTCATCCTCATACACTTACCCTATACTCTAAGCCCTAAGCCAGGAGACCCATCTGCGCCAACGCTGATGAAACACTTGTTCTTGAATTTGTCCTGGGCACACAGATTGGGCCAAGGCACGCTTGTTCAAAAGTATGGGACTATTGTTCAGCATCGCACCTGCCCTACACCACCCAAATACTAGTGGGATTCTGATTACAAGGACCTCTCTGAACTCCGAACGGAACCCTATACCCCGAGTCCTGCTTAAAATGACATGCCAGGTCATGAAGAACTGCGGCTCATGTGACAATCTCCAAGAAAGAGGGCCCCGTACGTATCCAAACATACCGTAAATCCCTTTTGTAGGCACTGCAGACAGGACCCCCTTGTCTTGGCGAAGCAAATCCTACAACCCTAAACCTTTTGGAAACCCCATATCTAGGGCTTCTAGTTTCTGCGCTTTCTTACACCTACAGTCCTTCTGCTGCAGTTTTCAAAACGACGTTGGGCCCCTGATTTTCCGAAACTTCCCTATACGGGAGATTGTCAAAACAGGGGTGCTGGGATATGTGGGCATTGTAGGGGGTTTGGGGTTCTTATTGGGGATTCTAGAAGACTAGAGTGAGCAACCCCCATGTACTGCAAAAGAGATCGCTCCATGAAGTAAGGAAACTAAATCAGAAACCAGGTCCGTCTTGAATATGGTACAGGTAGCTGCTTTTCATGTAAACTTCCTGTGCTTTCCGTCCAAACCAGATTTATAGTCCCACTTACGTAGATAGAATACGACTTTAGGTATATTATAATAAGGTCCCCATATACCCTATATTCTATCTACCTAAGGGGGCTATAACACGAGGGCTTGGAGGCTTCGGGCGGTTCTGGATCGCTTTCTGCGGGGGGGTCGTTGACATCAGCAAGGGTGGATCTTTGGTTTTCGTGGAACGAACGCGAAGGCCACCTACCTCTTCCTCTGCACAGTAGAGTGGTCAGCGAGCAAACATTGATACCTCTCAAGCCCACGGAGCCATCTGAACCTTAATGTAGACCCCTGATGTTTAAAAAAAAAAACTCCCCTTAATACGGATTAAAATTGCAATCCTAATATTAAGGCCCTTAAGGGGAGGGGGTTTATCAATCATGGGTCTACATTAAACCCTGATCTGCTCATCACGGGCCAGTTGGTCAAATAATAGCACCAATTTAGGAGTCTGGAGGGCAATAGAATGTGGTAATTATTTTGAGTGGGCTTGGGGGCCTGTTCCAGCAAAATCATCCAGGGGCTCTAAGGTGTCAATTAGTGCGGAGGCGCAGGCGTTGCCACACAGCAAGGACCTACACCCTAAACCCCCGAATCCATCCTACACACTAAACCCTAAACCCCTCACCTTGGGAAAGACCCAGCGTCGTAGATTCCGTAACGGAAATGGGAGATGGGCTTCACCATCTTCTCGACAGCCTCCAGTACGGGGTTTACTTTAAGGCTTCTGGGCACAATGGTGGACTAAATTTAATTGAAAGGATCCTTAAACCCTAAACCCCAAACCCTAGGGTTTAGGGTTTGGGGTTTAGGGTTTGGAGTTCAAAAATAGTTGTACAACCCACAGGAAATTGTGATTTTTACGAGGTAGGTAGGTGCCCTTCTCAACTACTCCCTTGAAAGCCAACCGGTGCAAGCCCTACTTAGGAGTTGCCGGGTAATTATACGCCAGTATTAAGGGTTTAAACGAAGATTACATAGGGTTTATATAGGGTTAACGGAAATTATAACCAAATCATAGCTCATGATTGGGTTGCAGGTAAAGGCATGAGTGGGTTATAGTTACCCTGAACCTCCAGGTACAATCCTAAACATGGTCAAGGTTGAGGGTTCTGGGTTTATCCTAATGTAGGGGCCTGAAGGATTTCTAACCTGGTGTATTGGTGTATTTTTTTGCCAATAGGCACATACATACTTGACTATAAGGGAGTAATGCTACTGCTTCAGGGGTTTCCCATGTGGGTGGAGGTCAAAATTATGATTCCTACTTGGGTGTCCTAAATATTAGGTGCCGTAATATACTAGGGATCCAACAAGGGACCATAAATTTGACAACCACCCAACCCTACACCCTCAACCCTATATAACCCCATTATAGTAGTTTCCATTTTCTTTTCCATTCTCCCCAATATACCCCCAAAACATCCTTATGTATCTTATGTCATCTTGGATGGCCCAGCAACCCTTCACTCTCAGTTCCTCAGACCTGAAGATGATAAACACTCACACTTGGCATGTGGGCCATGCCGAGACTTTCCAGTGTCGCGCATTTTTGGAGCTCCGAATAAGAAAATAAACCGAATAAGCATTCCTAGGGATCCATATATACAAATGATCCTTCATTGGGGCCTAAAGTCTGTAAATATTACCAACATTGGGCTATTTGGATCCCTAGACTATACCAAACCCTAAAAAGGAGCTACAGTAGAGGGTCAAGTGATGACTCTAAGCCACAGGTGTGAACCAGATGTTCGAATCCTGGGCGCCGCAGTGCTACATTCAAGAAATTGCCAGCGTGGAGTCTCCATAATCTACCTTCGAATACGCACCTGGAATGTAGTGACTAGTAGTGGTGACCATGGTCCTTCAAAACAAGACCCATATGAGCTATAGTCTAAACTCCTAGGTCCTAGTATGCCCCTTAAAAAGCCCTATAATACTCCCCTATATAATCCCCTATATATCCCCCTTTAAGAAGTTTAGACACCCTAAACCCTAAACCCTAAGACTATAGGTCATATGGGTTTCCGCTCCAGTCTCGGGGAGGGTATCTCCCTTCTCACGCCCCTTCTCCCTGCCGTGCCTGGAAGGCGACTTCCAAACCCCCAAGCCCAGGAACCCAAAGCGCCACATATCAATATGCTACCACCTACCTATCTACCTACCTTCCTACCTACCTACATACATACATACACACACACACATACATATGCATAAGCACACACGCCCTACAGACTCCCTACAGGGGTTATATAGGGCTTATAGTCTATAAGGTATATACAAGGGTCATAAAGGGATGATAAGTTGTATATATTGAAACCCTAAACCCTAATCCCTAACCCTAAACCCCAAATTATATGAGCTATGGTCTAAACTCCTAGTATCCCCCTTAATAACCCCTATAGTAGTCCCCTATATAATCCTTAACCCCCTTTAAGGAGTTTAGACTGTAGGTCATATGGGGGTTATAGCCCTAAACCCTAAACCCTAAACCCTAACCCTAAACTATATTGTGGTTATATTTTAAAAGGACTTTTCACTTGGGGGCCTTGGGATCCCTTAGCCCTGGACCCTGACTTCAAGCCTTGGGGTGGTGAAGCAGCAGATGGAAGATGAAGAGATTATCCTTCAGGGTTTAGGGCTTGGGGTTTAGGATTTAGGGCCTAGGGCTTAGGGTTTAGGATATTGGGTTTAGGATTTAGGGTTTAGGATTTAGGCTTTAGGGTTTGCCGCAATGTAGCGTAGCGGCAGCGATTCATAGATTGTCAGATTCGTTAGCCGTGCTGTTGCTTGCGGCCGTGAACTCCGCGCCCAGAGCTTCGACCACCAGGTGTAGGGTAACGACTTTATAAGGGACCAGTACTGGTCCCGAGGAGGACTACTCCAGGTACCTGGCCTCTCGTAGGTGCTACCGTACTTGGAGGTCCATGGTACTTATAACCTACTTAGTAACTGTAGTTATAACCCAATATCTAGGGTAACTGTAGTTATGGGACTTATATTTGGGTTATAACTCTAGTTTCTAAGTAGGTTATAAGTACAATGGACCTCCAAGTACCCCTGGCTGTGGGAAGGCAGGCGAGCAATGTCGAGGGGCTGAAGGCCGCCCACCATCGATTAGGTGTCCAGAAGGCTTTGGGTCTAGGATTTGCGTTTGGAAGGCTTAGTGTCTAGGACTTGCTCAGGGTCTAGAATGTGTCTGGGTAGACGCCTGCAACTAGTCAGTCAGAACAGGTTTTTAAGCGGGGCCACAAACAGCGGCTGGTGCGGCGAGTATTTCTCAACCAGAAACACATGGGGGCATGCTACACGATGTGTCAGGCGTCTATACTACACCCTCCGCCTACACACCTGAACCCTCTAACTAAGTCCCCTCAACCCAAAACCTGTAACCTTAAACCCAAAACCTTTAAACCCTAAACCTTAAACCTTCAGCCCCCAAAATGCCGCCATGTCCTCATTGGACAGCTCTCCCTTGGTTCCATCCTCGTCCGTGGCGACCGAGTCCTTGCTCTAGGTTTCCGTGCTTAGGAGTATCACTCTTCTTGCTTTAGTACCAGTCAGCAGCTCATCTTAACACTAGTGCTCTAGCTAGTATTGCATGTTGTGCTCTGACTTGCAATTGGCAATTTGGCGTATTGCCATGCATGCTTTTGCTAAGTATTAAGCAGCCTAATCATGCTCCGAATATCATTATTCCAACTGTTACAACTACTTGACTCAGATAATCAACACCTTGGGGTTCTGTCTGTGTAAATACAATTATACTATACCCTGGTGGCTGCAATTAATGGGCGGGGGCTTGACCTAGGTGATCACCCGAATCTAAGAACACTCTCATGTTGTCCTAATGGGAAGTGCCCCCAATGTAGTACAAATGTACAGAGTACAGAGGCACTGTGCGAATCGTGCACTAGAAATGGTATCTATGACTTGCCTGTTTCTTGATACAGAAGCCACCTGCAGCACTAAAAGCAGTACTGACCTGTGACAAAACAGCATGCTTATTGAAAAAGACAAACACTTTGATGGGGGGAATACGCAACAGTCCTGTCCCCAATTATGTTTGGGCCCTTCTATACTTCTATTATCTCAGTACTACGGCGCCGGGGCTTACAGGAAACAAGTTTAAATAATCCCCTCCCCATTTTAAAACACACACACACACACACCAACCCCTACGAAATCCACTAATACGGTACCATCATGTCAGGGGGAATATCTGTTGGGGGAGGGCATTATGAGGGGACTCATCTTACTTACGTTGTCCTGCAGTGACCCTGCTTTGGGCTTCTCAAGTTGAGGGTTCAGGCTTTGGGGCTTCGGACTTAGGATCTAAGGTTGAGAGGATTTGTAAGGTTTTCCACAGCAGGCATGCCTCTAGCAGCCCTGGGGATGTCAAGGGGTTATAACTTATACACCTACACGGTAAACCCTAAACCCTACACCCTTAAGTGTCCTCTATGTTCAACGACTTAGCAGGCACAAGGGCCGAGTGGAATAGATCTTCAGTTTGCCAGGGAGGATCCTGGTTAGTCGGGGGTTTTGGCAACCCCAACCACCCAAAAACTAGATTGGGGATAATGTCTCCAAACCCTATACCCCATTTTGGGGAGTTGGGATGCCTACGCCCTAAACCCTTTCGAAACAAGCCGTCCTGAATCTTCTTCACATGTGCGGCCAACTCGGCCCTGTTGTTGAAAAGCCTTCCTTCAGCATTTCTCTAGGGCTCCAAAAAACCCAATGTAATATCTCTAGACTTTAGGGCCCACTGAAGGCATTATTCATAGACTTGGAGCCCCAGAGTTTCAGGCTTGGGGATTTAGGGGCCGAGGGTTGAGGGGTTCAGGCTCAACATTTGGCAGTGATGCGAGGTGCCTATGCGTAGGTTTGTCTCGCGGCTTTACAGCGTAAGCAGTCTAGCGCCCTCGCAGATCACAGGCGTCACTGCTGAGGTGGCGATGATACGGTCTTCCGGGGGTCGCCCCAGGCAGACCCTAAGGTCCAGCTTCCGCCTTTAAAGTCAGTGCGCCAGGTATCTCTGAAGTAGCTGTAGCTCTTATGTATCCAGCAGTCCCTTGAAAAGTCCCGCAAACACAACCGGAATTGCAAGCCTGGCTAAACTGCTGTGACACTCAACCCTAAGCCCTAGACCGATCCCCAAACTGCCAAGCCAGATTATCCTAGGTTTGAGTTCCCTGACGGCAAGTGAAATCCAAAAATCTGCGGTAATGTGGCCACTTAACCTCACCTAATCTTGGGAGACCCGAAACCCTATATACACCCATATAACCCCATGTTTTTCAAAGGTGCCCACAGCCAGTGTGGGGTGCCAAACTGTAGGCCTCAGGCTTTGGCCCCCTCAAGTAGGAGTTTTTTCCGCCCATAAACAAGATTATGATATGTATAGTATATGTATAACCTCTTATTATTAAGGAGTCGCCTCTCCTTTCTTTTCGTGCAACTTGGCTGCATGTTGGCGATAGCGGAAAAGACTGAGACTGAGGAGTCCGATTCCCAGCCAGAAGACCCAACACACCCTACTTAACCCTATGCAACTTCTACAAAGCCTGATGACCTGAAATCTCAACCCTAAACCTTGAACCCTAAACCCTCAACCCCCCTAAATCCTAAACCACTGAATCCAAAAATCCAAATCTCTAACCCCGGCCCCTTATTGAGAATTAAGCCCCTTCCCTTAACAGGTATTATAATAGGAATCCTAACGTCAAGGCCCTTAAAAGGAGGGCGGTTACTAATCATGGGTCCCTCAACCCTAAACCCTAAATAGTACTTTCCATTTCTTTTCCATTATCCCTATATGTCCCTATATATGCCTATATAACCCCTAAATCATGGGTCTACAATACACCGGGCCTGCGAGGTAGATCTTTTTATTGATCGACTCAGAGCCTTCCGCGTCCGCTGCCTCTCCAACTTGAACGCCCGGAAAGTAATATGGGCTATAGTCTAAACTCCTTGATGGGGGTGTTATGTAGGGGATTAGGTAGGGAACTATAATGGGGGTTTATTTTGGGGGATACTAGGAGTTTAGACAATGTTACAGATGGAGACCCCAAAAGGGTTCAAGGTTGAGGGTTTGTGGGTTTAGTGTTTCAGGAATGAAAGACCGAAAAAGATTTGGGGTCCAAAGCAAGTTTAGGGGTGGGCTTTATGGCCTTCCCAGTTGGTTTGGCTGAGTGCATGGATTAGGATGTTTTGTGCGTGCTGCCCTTAGTTCATCAGAGGTCGGTGAACGTCTTGTTTACTTTGGGTGTAAATGTTGAAGGGCAAGCTTGCCTGAAGTACTTCCCAAAGCCCTAGACCCTAAACCTAAACCAAACCTCAAGCCCTACATGTCCTAAATTCTGTGAAAAATGACAACAATGCATCCAGGAGCCAGTCCCTGCAAGGCAGCTAAAACAAAACTTACAAATCGGAGGGCGGGGGGGTTCCCTCCTGAATTAAGCGTATAAAAAAATAACCAGGCCAAAATCAAGTATCAACGTGGAACCTCGGGGCGGATAGTAGTTACTTAGGGGTTATATGAGGGATAATGGAAAAGAAAATGAAAACTACTATATCATAGTATGATATGGTATAGTATAAGTTTGAAAATGAGACCCACATTGAGCCCAGAAGTCTATGAATAGCACGCGCCTGGTTTGTTTGGATCCCTAGGGTGTGATGAGTAGGTATTAAGGCTTATAGTCCTCCTTAAGTAGATAGAATACGGGGTATATGGGGATCTTATTATAATATACCCGAAGCCATGTTTTATCTACTTAACGGGCACTATAGGGATTCTAAGCCCTGCATGAATGCCCAAAATGCCTTATTTCTCGTTCTAGTTGAGGGCTTGCCTGACACATCTCACTTTGTGCACGAGACGACCTACAACCCCCTACAGCCTGACCCCTAAAACTAAAATGTGAACTTAAAAATCCTAAACCTTACACCCCAAATCCCAGACCCTAAACCCTAAACCCTAACGACAGCCTAGGAATCTGCAGAGGCCTTCCACATATTGTGGGTCCTGTCTCAGAGAGGGTCCCTTAGGATCCTCCCATTTTAGGGGAAAAAGGTAAGGCTGACCCGAATTTTGAAAATACACTGGGTTTAGGGGTTAGGGTTTAGGGGTTTAGGGTTTAGGGTTAGGCTTTAGGGTTAGGGAACCTTATATAGTGATCCCTTAGCCATAAGCCCTAAGCCATAAACCCTAAATCTTGGGTACTGCCCTAGGGGGTCCTATCAAGGGCGATATATAACCATGTTACAACTATTATCCAACTGTTACTGAGGGGGGGCAGTACCCAACAGACACCCTGAACCCTAAACCCTAAACCCTAAACCCTAAACCGCGAACCCTAAATCCGCGCGGCGTGGCGGCGCTGCCTCGTCCACAGCTTTGGCTGTCGCATCCTCCTTCAGAAGGCGTCAGCCAAGGCACAGCAAAGTCAAGATGCAGCTGAAACTAGGCCACTAGGTAATGTTTGTTGAGCAACAAGAAACCCCCCTAAACCCCCTAAACACTGCACCCAAGTGAAGGAGCTGTAGAAATGCCAGCTGCTGCTAAAAGCCCCTGGCTCAATACCTTGACACCTCAGAAACCTAGGGTGTAGGGTTTAGGGTTTAGGGTTTAGGGTATACGGTAATTTCCCCAAAATTAGGGGTACCCTGAACCCCTAAACCCTATAGTCAATGGGGGTTATATAGGGTTTAGGGGTTGGGTTTAGGGTTTAGGGTATAGTCCCCCTTAAGTAGCTAGAATATGGGGTATACGGAGATCTTATTCTAATATACCCAAAGCCATATTCTATCTACTTGAGGGGGACTATACCTTTTGTGGGGGAGCCATCATAATGAGGATCATCGTGTATTAAGGTCCCCTTATTTAGGGGACTTACCAAGCACCCTTTAGAATATACTCACCATACCAGTCAAAGTGCCAGGCGGCAAGCAATAAGACAAGTTACCACGAGAACTACTTGGTAACCCACCCTAAACCGTGGGCCCTGCCCCCACTAACAGTCTATATTAGGGGTCATATTAAGGGCTCTATGTAGCTATTTTATAAATATTATCCAACCGTTAATGAATGGTCCCTTACCCTAAACCCTAGAAGTACCCAACCTAAATCCCCAAAAATGCCTTACAATCACTGAAGCAATCAGGCCTCGAACGTTGTGGTTAGGGCTTAGGGTTGTTCATGGGTTCATGATTGAGCGCTTAGGGTTCATGCCCTAAGGGGGCAATAGAATGGCAGCATCAGAATGTTAGGGGCTCGACCATGCGAACCTTAACACCTCTACAGCAGAAGTGCCCTAAACCCTAAACCCTAAAGTTCAGGATTGAGGGCTTAGGGTTCATGCCCAAGACGGCAATAGAATGGCAGCATCAGAATGGTAGGGGCTCGACCATGTGAACCTTAACACCTCTACAGCAAAAGTGCCCTAAACCCTAAACCCTAAACCCAAAGCCAACTCCACAAAGCCGAACCCCACTATCCCCCATCATCAGCCCTACACTCACTGGCAATTGGCTAGCAGGGACCTAACAGTGATGGTTTTAAGAACTCAGCCTTTACATTCCTTGTTGGATATGAATGTAACAAAAATTTGACAACAAGCCCCTCCCAGAACCACCAACTCAATAGCGTCATGTATGCGGAATAATGTCTAGAATTAGGGGGTGGCGGGAGGTCTTTGGCAGGGGAGGGGGCTATCTCCAACAATGACCCAGCAACTGACCTGCCATAACCTTGCCGTGAACTGAACTCTCACAGGGGTTCTCTAATCTTATATTTTCCAGAATCTTACCTTTACATTCCATTTTCCAAACGGGCCAAGCAACTATGAATAACAGTTCTCACTTTGTTTTCCATTGTCCTCTATGCCCTACACAGCCCCAGCTTCCATTCCAAAAGGGAAAAAGGGCTCCTTGAAGCCCAGTCCACCCGCCTCAGGTTTGGCTTCAAAGGCCGCTTCCACCGCTGCAGCGGCCTCGGGGACCTCTGAGAGACAAAGCGAAAAATGTGGCTGCTAGGGAAGGATTTAGGGATTAGGGAAAGAGTATGGGGTATATGGGGATCTTATTACAATATACACCGGCAAGGGTTTAGGACTTAGGGCTGTTGATGCGGAAAAAAATTGCATGACCTTGATATACTCTAGTACCATACTTCCCAAGATATAAGGTACCTAGGGTCATGCAGGATTTCTCGTACTCATGGTAGGGATCATAGTGTTGCTGGGGCGGGGGACCAGGGGTTGAAATTGCATGGGACCATATATAGCGTACGGATTTGTCTGCCCTTCTTGGGGTTAGGGCTTCATTACGCCCGCCAGCCAACTTTAATTGCCTAAGCGTCTACTCTACTCAGGTAGATGTTCCAGATTTCTTTAAATCCGCCTGTTCATAAGTTTCGCCAGCCAGAACCCAACATGTCAAGCGCCAGGAATTTTGCACACCAACCCCAAAATCCTCGCCTCTAGGGGTTAGGGGCCCTCCTCATCATCCTAATCACCCCATTGTCAGAGGGCCATGGAGCCCTCAAACCCCAAGACCCTGCGTGCCGAACCCCTAACCCCTACAACCCCAAACCCGTCAACGCTTAAACCCTAAATCTAAACTATAAGCCCAAACCAAAAACACCTGAACACTGCATTTCAAAAGCTGCTGCCTCAGCAGCCGGTGTCTCAGCTGCTGGTGTCTCAGCTGCCGGCGCATCCGCTACTGGAGCTTCCTCCCGCCGTGCGGAGGCTTGGGGTCTAGGGTCTAGAGATCATGCAGGGTTTAGGGCTTAGCGCTTCGGGATGACACACGCCCATCCCGCAAGCAAGCACGGTTCGTAGCAGAGTCCCAGGGCCACAGGCCAGTTGCGGGATCGACAGCCAAGGCAGGATCAGCCTCCAAAAGGGTTTAGGGCTTATACGGCTCCAGGAGGAACCTTGCACAAATCCATACATCCTCTTACTCCACCAGAAGGGGGCCCTTTGTGGGACCCTCGGGATAGCTGGGCTTGTAAATTATATAGATACTTAGTTAGGATCTTGCAGGGGTTACTTGGGAGCATCTCCACATCACCACAATGATTGGAAGTACAGGACGGTATCCCCCTTGAAGTAAGATTTTCCTCTCGCCACGGTAGCATTGTGGGCTAACCCTGAAATGAATTGCCCGCCTGAATTGAAACTCAAATTGGGAATTCGTCGGTTACACGAGATGTTGAAAAGTAGGTAACACATCTAGCCTCTGATTCCCCAGGGTAAGAAGGATGATCCGCAGTAGCTGTTTAGGTTTGGGGTTTCTGAAGGTTCGCCGTTCGTCCATGAAAACAAATGGGTGGAGCCCCTCCTCAGCAATCTTGAAGGACAAGAAACACTGTATCACTCTGCAGAAACTGGGCTTCCACTGCAGGGCCTCCGAGATGGGTGACCTTGGGAGCCTACAGCGGGTGAGGTTATTGCTGGGGATGCTTTGAGGATTAGAGTAGTATGTATGCTGAACAACTTACACATGGCAACAATGCTTAAGCACTCGTATCGCAGAGCTCCATGATTACACCGGCAAGTGGTCATGTGAGCCATGATCTAAACTCCGAGCAGCCCCCTTAATAACCCCTGTAGTAGTTCCCTATATAGACCCCCTTCAGGAGTCGTTTAGACTGTAGCTCATGTAGTTTCTACCCCTCCAGGCACAGAGAGCAGGTTGGGGCAAGCTCATCGGGAGATCGTTCGTGTGGTAGGGTTCAGGGTGTGGGAGTCTTCACTCCCAACGACCCGAAAAATCAAAGTGAACCCAGACCTTGAAGTCCCAGGCACAGGCAGGGCGGTAGAGCTGTCAAACTGAACTTACGTGTTATATCAGTCCCGAACTTGGAGCTTAATGTCCAAAAACAAGCCCACATTGGGCCCCAGAAAGGTCCTAGAATATCTGGACTTCCAACAAAAAAGCGGAAATCACTTCACGGTCCTCCACCGTCATGGCGGCACGTACGTCGATATGCCAGAGGACTTGTGGAAATATGTCTCTTAATCGCTTGCAGAATATTTGATTCCTTTGTTGTAATGCATACCTTGTGGTCTGTTTAGGGCTCAAGCCAGGAGAACTTCTTTGAAGTAGAGGGTCCTGCTTCGTCAGCTGCCAGTTGTCCCGACGGCTGGCTAGATGGTTGGTGAAAACTGCATGTTTGATGGATGGCAGACCTCATGAGAAGACAGCCCTTTGCAACATGCCCGCAATAGTGCATGCTGATGAACAAGCTGAATGGATCTGACTGCAGCTTGGCATGCGCACAGCGCTGACAAAATCGACAAAATCTGCAGCCTGCTTGAGCAAGCGGTGCAGAGAGCTGCACTGATCGCGTTTATATAGGGGGATATATGGGGCTATATATTGGGATGAGGGAGAAGAAAATGGAAACTACTATACAAGGTTTTGGGTTTGGGTGTTTCAGCTTTCAGGGTTAAAAGTGCAAAGACTTAATGGTGAAGATAATGTTACCAGTCTTAACACATCAGACAAGGCGTGTGGTTAAGGCCCTAAACCCTAAACCCTACGGTTAAGGCACCCTAAACCCTAAACCCTGAATCCTAAACCCTAAACCCTAAACCCTGAATCCTAAACCCCAAACAGGGTGTGTTCTGCTTCTGCTTGTAAAGGAAGCCTGCTCTTCTGTGGGGCTTCTGCTGGCTTAGGGTTTAGGGTTTAGGGTTTGTATCCTACTGAGGGGTCAGAGGACACTTAGTGGGTGAATGATAGGGATAACTGGTTTTTACTATATTACATAGGTTACAGGGGTTATACGTATACTTACTGTTCCCCTGACCCTGACAGTAGGGTTAAGGGTGTGGGTTTAGGGGTTGAGCGACATTTTGGGAGTTGTGAAGCTGATCGCTTGAAAGGGGCATCTGGCTTCCTTCAAGACACACAGGCCGGGGTTTAGGGGCTTAGGGCCTAAACCCTAAACCACCAGCCAAGCCAAGCTAAGAACAGTTATTTCTTCCTTCAACATCTAGCCCCCCTTGAGTACACAGAATATGGCATTCCACAGAACCATAGGAATATAATGGAATATAAGGACCCTAGGGTTTAGGGTTTAGGGTTTAATATAATGGAATATAAGGACCCTTTTTTGTCACCGCCGTGCGCGTTGTCTTGCGCGCATTGGCGCCTGCCCTGTAGAATCCAGATCCCG